GCGTATACGTCACTGATCCAACTTTTGATGATTTCGTTGATTTCGAATGATTGTTCCGAACGCTCAGGGCTTCCACTTTCAAGGAAATTTCCTTTTTTAAGGAATTTTTGTCTCAAAAAATGGATATTATTTTATTTACTTACAACTATTTTGGGCAATGCCAATCAGTCCACGATACGTTGCTGTTCAATACAAACTAGTCTTTTAATTAATTTTATTACTAATTCAATAGGGTCATATCTAATAAAATAAGTACTTATTTCATTTGCCTGTTATTTGCATTCAGGGATGAGATTGGAAAGGAACTAAAAATTTCCTCAGATTGTGAAAAGCCTGGCTTCCTGAAAATTTAAGTTTGTGGTTCGTTAATGTGACTTTAATGCACTATCACAAAAAATCTATCATAAAGAACTCTCTTGAAGAAGACTCTGAAGTCGGAAGACGCGAAGTTTGCTATCAGAGAGAGTCACTGAACCGCATTTTAAGACAATACCCCTAATATTGAGTTATATTACGACAGTTCCGTCCGCAAAAATTAGATCAAAAATGCCGGAAAACAGCACTTGCGCTGAAGAACATGGATGATACTTCGCCATGATTGTGATAATAATTCATAGTATGAAATAGGCGTAATCATTTCTGGGCCATTAAAAGTAAGGCTATATAAGTGTAAGAACCTATAAATATTGTTTTATGACTTCCGAAGTCTTTTCTGCATGTCTATACAGTTTTAGTATACACCCGACTATTGTCTATTACAAAACCTACATTCTGATCGGCTACTCAACCATTGTCTATTCGTGATGGTGAACGTTTGGGAAAAATTCGCTCGCGCGATCGTATAAAATTGAATTAATCAAATTATTTTTCGGTGTAGTTGCGGTGTATCGATTATTTTCTCGAAATTAATATATCTAGGTACAGGGTGTATACTAAAACAATGAGACAACTCGCCTTCGTTGTCTAATTGTTAAATATTCAGCATACAAGGCTCATCAGTCAAGCTGAGCGAACGAGGGGTGGAATTTTTGAATGTAATTATTGTTGGAAAAAACATTGCAAAATATTTAGTTGAATAGGTGATAATGAATGTAGGACAAAATGAAAAACGTGGTTGAAACAATGCACTGATATTTAATTAAATAAAGGCAAAACGATATAACGGCTTCACCGCATGCATGAACGAACAATTTTATGACAGCGAATATCATTCTTTTGCGTACGAAGCAAATTAACATTCACATCACAAAACCTAGATTTCCTCGAAAAAAATCGTATGATTTCATATATACGAATAATTTTGGTATCCACCGTTTAAGCTAAACGCCTTTCGAACAACCTGCCCCTGATCTGATCCCAAGTAATCTGGCTGAGCTATTCACCGTATAAATAAGCTCTTATGTAATCTGAACTGTTACGTAATCTTATCTCATCTTATGTAATCTGATTCTGTGTGATCTTATGTAATTCTGATCTGTGCGTAATGTGATCTGATCCAGTGCAATCTGAATGCTACCATATATCGGGTCATATAAAATTCTAGCAATTTTCAGGGACGCCGGAACGACTCGGCAAAGGCAAAGAGGGGCAGATTTTCGTGAAAGTGCATTCCTGTAAGGACACATACAAGAAAATAGTTCGCAAAACATCGTCTTTTGAACTTCGTCACATACTGTAACTGGCTTTAGCTATCAGCGCATATAATACGAGTTGAGCTCAGCTCATGGTAATATTCTTAAACATGGATTACTATGTCGCCATGCAGATATGTTGTTCACAAACATACAATTCACTAACACAGCACTTGCGCTAAATCGCATGGACGCCTCCAATCTATTGCGCTACCGCGCCTATGATGTCGCCGAAGTCGGTTCCCAACATCAACTAGGCGGGGTCAGTCAGTCTATGAAGCGAATATAAGAGCTAGTTAGTTATGCATGGCTGTATACACCTTGAAGTCTCGTCTACAAGTCTCTCCTTGATGGTTCAATCTGCTTGATCAAGCATGCGTGACAGCTGGTCAAACCTAACTTAGGGGGGGGGGTTGAAAGTAGGGCGGCAGGAGGAAAAAGCTTAGGGGTCTTGTGAGTTATCACAAAAAAACAACTCATTTTTAAAACTAAGTCAATTTCGTAATAATTCCATACTCAAAATTTATGTACATGGCATTTGTTATATTGCCATGATTTTATTTGAAATCAAGAAACAAGCTTCTTAGGCACGGTGACAGGGACCGGAAAAATTTTCCAAGTTTGATCGTTCGGTTGGGTCGTTCACACAATAAAAATGGATGGAAATCGACCGGTTCTATTTGTTCACAGAGCACGGTTCCCGTCTGAACATTGCCGTTAATTATATAAAAAAATATAAAGCCTGGTTCAACCAACTTTTTCAACCAATCTGGGTTTCTCTTTGTTCTTTGTCTGAGGTCACTACTCACTAGTGCACAAAATGCCATCACTTCTTCAATAGCTTATGTACCCTGTACCCAGTTTCACACGAGGCAGTAAATAGCACTCGCTGCAGAAAATCTAAGTCAACAATTATTTACAACAGTCTCAAAATTCATTACAAAGTTAACAATAATGTCTCAAAATTTAATGATATTTATCAAGCTTATTTGCATCATTGAAATGCAGTTAACTCGTGGAAAATGAGATCAATTCATGCGATTTGCATTATACGTAAAATAAATGCGATTCATACTCGCACAAAACTCTAATTTCATGGTAGCGTCCTTCAAGTATACACTTGGTATATAAAAAAACGTAAATACTCAGTTAATTAAACCTGTATTAAACGGTCATGCACCCACTGGGATTTCGCATGTGACCGTTTAATAGGGTCTTGTGTTGGAAGGACCGTTTAATACAAGTCTTGTAAGTCTCGTCCACGCCGCTTAAATAATCAAAGAAAGTTTAATATAGCTAATTACTAAATTCGAAATAAATGGAAATACTTTTCTTTACAAATATCAAGTGAAAGTTTTGAATCGGATGAATAATAAATATAGCTATCATTATCACATTGAATTGTATGGAAAAGACCGGTGAGGTGACCTCACTGCATGCATGGACAGACTGATTCTTATATGATAAATCATGTATCATTTCTGCTCTGAACATTGGCAGACGGAGCAAAAATGCACAAAAAATGGACAATTCAAACAAGTATATTGTATGAACTTGAAATAGCCTACAATATTTGAGTGAATTGTATACTGCAGCGTCAGAAACTTTGGCTAAAACCATGAAACAAAGATCAATCCAATAACACAGCATTTGCGCTTATATTAATCTATTTTCCTGCATGATATTGTGATAATATTGGCTATTGAAAAATACTAGACACGAAATCAGTTCTTAGTCTTCAAAGAAACACAATTGCATTCTCGTCCGACAGTCTGTGCGTAGCAATGTTTGATTGTCCTTGCTTGTGAATTACAATACAAGCCGTTTGTGTGTGATATCGGATTCCCGGAAGCTCCTTATTAAGGTAATAAGGGCCACTTCTACTCGTTTCAATCACAGTTTCAATGCGGGTCTGAAATTTGAATATTTCCGAAGTTTCCCCCATGCTTCGGAATATTCTCGAAACAGACTCTAGATCAAATTTATTTATTTAAAACCACAGCAAATCAATCCTGTACTATATGCTTATAAGTAAAAATGCAGGTGTATTTTCAGTACACGCATATACTTACAATATTGGGCGTATATAGACTATATAGTGTGCATTGGTATAAAATATGTATAATGAGTGTCGGATTTTATCATTGAACAAATCTTATTTATCACTGCACAAATAAGTCATGATTAAACCTTAGAATAACCTGATCAGACCTGGTTCGCACTGGCTCCAAAGAATCGGAGATCCATGGTGTCACTTTCCGATAGACAAAGCATTTTTCGCACTAGTGACCTCAAACAAAGGGAATCCCTGATTCTAATCGACTGGTGCATGTGAACTAGGCTTCGATTCCTGTGTTATTGGATAAACTCGTTAGTCGTTATACACAAATTTAACACGGTGTAACAGTAAGTTCTGATGTCCAGACAATCATCAGTTGCTGACTTTTTAGGCATTTCTTTTCAAACGTTCAATGATACGTTTTTCCAAGATTCCAGGATAACCTCAGTAACAGGTTATTTGAAATAAGATTGAATACATGCAGTTATTAGGCTGTTTTCCGTGCATCGCAAAGGCGTACTCGCAAGCGAGCTTTGGGTGCTTGCATCTAATTCAAATCAACACACTAAGGCCCTGTTCATATGAGCCGGGCTGACTCGCTAGAGGCGAGATCCCGCTTCCTAAGTTGTTTCTATATGTTTTTGAAATTTGATTCACATGGAAAGCGGGCCAGCCCGCTTTGGCGAGATCTCGCTTGAGCGAGGCGAGATCTCGGCAAAACGGGCTCATATGAACGCACTAGGCGGGCTAGCCCGGTAAACCGGGCTGAAAATCGTCGATCGCTTTCTCTACAAATATACCTTCATAGCATCATTTCGCCATTTTATATGTATTTGCAAACCAAAAGAACACAATACATTTCAAAAATTAAAGAAATATATCTGCCCAAAACCGCTGTAATCAATGCAAGCAACATTTTTCGATTTGTGAAGCATCAACAAATGATGTAACGCTACCGGGCTAGCCCGCCTCATGTGAATAAGAAAATAAACCAGCCCGGCAAAGCGAGCTAGCCCGGCAAAGCGAGCTAGCCCGGCAAAGCGGGCCAGCCCGGCTCATATGAACAGGGCCTAAGAGTTATCTCTTTGGGTAAAAACCTTCGCGGCAAGATAAAGAGGCGTTAATTCATATCTATGACTGGCATGAGTAGAAAAGATTCTTAGTTCACCGTAAGCATTGGCTTCCTGTAAGACAAGTGCAGCTTATAGCATGCACCTGTGCATCCTTAATATATGCCGACGTAACGATTTTATAGGCAGATTCTTTCCCCACCAGCAGCCAACATATAACCGCGAGATTATAAGGAGTAATTCATTTTAGCTTGAAAGCACACCAAGCGCCGAACTGCTGGGCCATCTTGCTGTCCATTCAGGAGTCGTAGAAAATCATATCATATAGTAACGGTATATAGTAATTATGGATTTTTTATACTAATGTTATAAATAATTATATATTAATTGACAAATATCTAACCATTCCTGGCACCTTCTAGAGGGTCGAATTTCGATTGGAATTATGCACACTTCAACAATTATACAAACACATTGGCACCTTCGTGCTATACCTTGTGCCATCCAAAGATTTAAACCAGAACTTAATCATGAAATTAATGATTCATTATATCTAAGTAGTTCATCAGTTATATCTAACTATCATTTTATCGCTTATCATTTTTCTAATCCTCTCTATAGATGCATGCTGCATGCTTACGATGTATAACCTATAGCTATTTTATCATGACGAGGACCAAAAAATTATGGAGCATGCATGGATGGAAATAAAATTAAAACTGTTAGCATTTATTGTTGTGCATGTAAACCTTATATTATTTCAGTATTGTGGAATATATGTCCAGTTAGTATACAGCTAGCTTTATTAGACAGAGGGGGTATGGTTCAAAGAGGGCCTTGATATGTTCAAACTGATCAAAAGTAGTAATATGTACTGAGGCTTGGATTTTAAATTTTGTGTTGTTTGAGGGTTCTGAAATTCTGGTGTAAGAAACGATCCGTTATACCATAGGTTATACCATGCCAACTTACAATTATTACAACCTGGACGGAAGAATTTGTAGACTCCAGAGCTTGAATGTATTGTAGGAGTTTTACCTTTGCATGACATGAAAACATTGCTATAAAATTCTCCAGTTAATAATAAATTGGCATCTTAGGGACTGTTTACATGAGCCCTAAAAGAAGAAGTGGCCCCACGAGTAGGGCTGTTTTTCACCTGTCGCTTGCATGAGAAATATCCCCCCCCCCCTTCTTGCTAGGGCTGCATGGCTCGCTCTCGAAAACATCATTGAACGGCTTCATGCATGTGAGTCACTCATTCAGTATCTCTCCGAAATCATATTTAGTCAAACGAATTGTCGAATACCGACCAACAGGCGTTTGGATGTACATGCAGTATATGCGGATATATGCTTACAGTGTATTTGTAAAGCTGAATTTAATTTGAATAACTGTTTGATACAGAGACGACTGTTTTCACTTTGCCCTATCATGAGGGCCAGCCGCCTTCCTGAAAAGCGCTGGATGAATGATAAAATATTGGGAGCATGCATGAAGTAATTTATGAATATATACTGCGTGTGAATCTCGGTGTCCTAATTTATCGTTCTTTTCTTTGAAATGCGTTATTAAATGTGTGGTAAAAGCTTTACGATCTAATTTTAGGTAAAACTGATTACTTGCTGCTTTTGAATTAAAATAAAGGCCAATCATGCAAGCAGGTGCGTATATTTGTCAGCTTTCTATATTTGAACGCCTTTCTGTTATATCATGGATACGTATGCAGTGCACTATGTTGCAACTTTAAGCCTCGTATAGAAATGCGTGTAAAAATCTTCATTCACATCTTCAGTTTGAATAATTTGATGTGTTTGATTTAATATTATAAATGTAATATCTCGATGTCTGAGCAGTGAGCACTTCATTATACAGGAAACGTCACCAACTTTTAGCTTTGTCGTTGGTAATCATGATTCATTTTTTATTCCTATAGGTCTGTGTCTTCTTGCTGCACTAACCACAGTTTATTTTCTGTCGAGTTCTGTGGGCGCGTATCACGGTTAGCTTTTTCTGCAGTACATATTTTTGAATAAGATTTGTACTTAGTTCATTTATTTGAGAGCCTTTATAATTAGCTATTTATTATGCAAAGACCAACCGACTAAGAACTCAACCATGCAACCAGTCTCTTCTAACAACTTCGCATCAAACGTGGGACACTAAGAACACCGCTGAAATTGTTGCTTACGAGTTGAATTACGAATTGTTGCTTAATTGCCTATAATAAAAATAGACTGACTTTTCGACGTCACCATTCAGTTATCATATCGACCTCTACACTGACTCTCTTAGCTAAGATCGAAATGACGAGAAGTGTCCTTGTTTATGTGGTTAGGCAGTTGTTAAACCACATTAATTTATAGTTACAAACTGTATTAGCCTGCATCATTTTATAAAATCGATGAATTGAAATTTTAGTCCCCAGATGTCTTCAAAGGAAAGAAGTTGGGCCGTGCAGAGCGAATATACCACGTTATTTCTATAACCGTGTCTCTAAAATGTGCGAATTATTTTACTATGGAGGTTGCCATGGCAACAGCAACAATTTTGCGACTCTGGACAAATGTGAGCGAAGTTGTGGTAAGCGTCGATTTATTGATGAATTAGACCGGATTACAACGTTGTTGGACGTGCTAGTTAGTGATATAGACTAAGATACTGCATGATATATAATATCAACACGCCAAACCAAAACAAGAAGAATATTGGTAATAAATTTAGCTGCACGTCATACCATTTATCAAAACCACTCACCCATATTATCTGTAGTATATATAGCCAGTGTTTGAAACTCGTCAACGCTTGCACAGGCATACATTGATGACTTCTTTAATAAAACCTGGTTTCCATTTCGTCGTAATTGTCGTGAACGAGTCATTTTCACCGACGAGAAATAGTCGGAATCTAAATTTGTCCACTTCTGTATTCAAATCTGCCATTGTTGACTGCATACATATCTAGAAATATTCATCACATCAGCCACCTTGACATGTTCACGACACTCACGACTGAATGGAAACGAGGCATTATGTCTTAAATTAGTAGTTGATCTGATTGGTCAGAGTTCTGCTTCTGCACACAGCAAAACAAAAGCCTGCTTTTTGGTACCAGCGCGAAGGCAACTCCACACACACACACACACACACATCCCTGCTATAAGTTCAGAAGAATCATCAGTGCATTAATAATGATTAAAAATCGAATCGATTTATTGAAAATTTAGTTCCAAGATGTTTTCAAACGAAGTATTTTGGGCAGTACAATAAAGAAAGTATTGCACAACAACGGTTTTACTACAATCGATTCTCTAAACAGTGCGAACCTTTCCACTATGGTGGACGGCGAGGCAACGACAACAATTTTAGGACTTCAAGCGAGTGTCAGCGAAGATGTGGTAAGCGGTGACTTGTTAATAAATAAGACGCAATTATACCATCGTTGGACTGGTTAGTTAGTCATGACGAATATATACACCGCATTAATTGGCTTTACAAACCAAAAGCAATACTTATGAATATGTTTTGCCTACCGAAAATCGTCCACTATACCAGTGGCGGATTCAGGGCCGGTAAGTCAGAGTAAATTACACAGCCTAATTTCCAATTCAAAAAACCTTAACAACAACGCCATTGGTTATCCATTTCAAAAGGTTATTTGTACATCAAATTCACCAACATGTTTGCAAGTTACAGTTGTAAATTAATCTGACTTAAGCCGGATCCATCACTGGCACCACTGGAATATACAAACTGTTTCATCCGTATCAGAAGCATCAGGTGGCAATTGTGTCCTTTTCTTTCAAAATTCACACAATTTTCATAATTTTTTTCGGGCAAGACATTCCTTGCTCCCATTGGCTCCCAATGATAAACCATCAATGTATTGATGACCGACAACAATGGTCAATACTATTTCCTTTCTTCTAGATATTTGCTCTCTTAAACGAGACCCTGGTTACTGCAAGGGTCACTTCCCAAGATATTACTATGATTCTGTGTCAAAGTCTTGCAAAATGTTCATATATGGCGGTTGTGGAGGAAACATGAACAACTTCAAGATTCGTCAGACTTGTGAAGCCAGATGTCAACCAAAAACGGGTATAAATTTTACCAAATGTAGCCACATGTTACTTTTCGAGCTTTCAGTTTACATGGGTCTTCATCAGTGCAAATAACTTTTAAGAAATCATTCATGTCACCAGTTGCCACGAATGTCAGGACCATTCTTGTCCCTATAGAAAACAGTTGCATAATGCATAGTTTAATTGCCACCTTGTAAACAGTTTATACTGTATGAACCATCACTGTCATATTTTTATCATTTCGCTCATTTTCATATCCCTTACAATTTGTTAAATATTTAACAATATAAAAAATAATTAGATTTTTCTGTGTATGATTTTACATAAATATGATATCCCAAGATTCCATTTTAATCTCCCATCTTAGAAACCAAGCATAAGTCATGTGCCATTCGTTGTCCCAGAAAACGACTGCCTCCAGTGTGTGGATCAGATGGCAAAACATATCCCAATTACTGCATATTGAAAGAAACCGCTTGTAGACTCGGACAAAATATCACGTTTGTTCACACAGGACCTTGCAGTGAGGAGCTAAATTTATTATATTTTGACAGAATATCCAATGTCACTTTGACATGTTGTAAGCCATTCTTGACTGCATGACTGTCATAAAATATGATATCCAAAGATTCATTTAATCGCTTAATCTCCCATCTTAGGAACTGAGCCGAAGACGTGTGCCTTTCCTTGTCCTAGAAAACGACTCCCTCCAGTATGTGGATCAGATGGCAAAACATATCCCAATTACTGCATATTGCGAGAAAAGGCTTGTAAACTCGGACAAGATATCACGTTTATTCACAAAGGACCTTGCAGTGAGGAGCTAAATTGATTATTTTGACTGAATGTTTTACATGTTGCAAAACATGTTGGACTGCATGATATGACAGCCTGACCGTGTCAAAAAATAATATTTGAAGCTTCCTTTAACCGCTTAATCTTCCATCTTAGAAACGAAGTCGAAGACCTGTGCCATTCGTTGTTCCAGAAAACGACTCCCTCCAGTATGCGGATCAGATGGCAAAACATATCGCAATTACTGCATGCTGAAAGAAACCGCTTGTAGACTGGGACAAAATATCACGTTCGTTCACAGAGGACCTTGCGGTGAGGAGCTAAATTTATTATATTTTGACAGAATTTTCAATGTCACTTTGACATGTTGCAAGCCATTCTTGACTGCATGACTGTCATACAATATGATATCCAAACATTCGTTTAACCGCTTAACCTCCCATCTTAGGAACTAAGCCAAAGACGTGTGCCGTTCGTTGTCCCAGAAAACGACTCCCTCCAGTATGTGGATCAGATGGAAAAACATATCGCAATTACTGCATATTGAAAGAAACTGCTTGTAAACTCGGACAAGATATCACGTTTGTTCACAGAGGACCTTGCAGTGAGGAGCTAAATTTATTATTTTGACTGAATGTTTTACATGTTGCAAAACATGTTGGACTGTATGATATATATGACAGCCTGACTGTCAAAAAACAATATTCGATGCTTCCTTTAACCGCTCAATCTCTCATCTTAGAAACCAAGCCGAAGACGTGTGCCGTTCCTTGTCCCAGAAAACGACTCCCTCCAGTATGTGGATCAGATGGGAATACATATCCTAATTATTGCATAATGAAAGAGACTGCTTGTCAGTTTGGACAACGTATCAGAGCTCATGGCTTAGGACATTGCAGTAAGTATAATTTATCATTTTCCCTGCTAGACTCTGCCCTAGTATATTCTAAATTGAAAGAGACTGCCTGTGACTTGGAAACGCTTTTACGATTGCCAAGGACGTGGGAGGAAGAGGGGTGAAATTGGCCAACTTTCATTATGAAAAATAATCAACTTCTCCGACTGCGTACAAGAACTGCGTTTTTACTTTTTAGTGACAGCTTTTATACGGGGTTTTCTGTGACCAGTTCTATGCTCGATCTTTATTTTTTGGATATAGCCCGATCAGTTTAAATAATTATGCTCCTAAAACTTAATGATATCTAAATTCATGACCGTAGCAAGACGACTTAATCGAGGGGGGTATATCCATATATTCATGTTTATCTACCGCAGGAACAATCGCGTACAAAAGAGACCACCCACCCCCCCCAATTAAGCTTCTAGGTACGGCCCTGTCCTGACATTGGTGCAATGAAATAAACTATTAAGGCCTGTATCCTAAAAGTATACTTGAACACTGCACCTCATGGAGTGGGAGATCTCAATCTTCTCATAACTTTTCCATGGCGGTATTTCGGGTGTCAGGTCGTTTCGTACTCTTGTCATTTCGTACCCATATCCCTGGTCGTTTCGTACTCTAATTGATGGTCGTTTCGTACCCCGATTTTAGTCGTTTTGTACTCAAACGCTATATGACTGCTTTTATTGCAATCAGTTCAGTTTTTATTAAAAGCGTTGATAATAACCACTTTCTTTGTTGACTTGAAACTCTGTATTGCAACATTTAAGTTCTTCATTCGGCAGTTCAAATTTATCGTTTTGAAAATGGTCCGAAAGTTTACACGCACACTTAAGCGCAAATGGCCATGTGGTACTTGCAGTCTGCAATGCAATGACAATTCGATCTTTTGCGAAGGATGCCGAATGCATGTGGTACCATTCTTGTTGTGAGAACCTGTCTCCGAGAGATTTAAAAATTTTACAAATTCCACTCGAATAAGAGCCTGATCTTCAGTTCTTTAACTTGCATCTTTCCATCCATTAAGAATAAACTTTCTCATTGATCAGTAAAAACAAAATCATAGTTTACATGCCAACATGGCACCATCAACTGAGAGTGAGCTTTTTGATATTTTTTATTATACAGGCGTATATGAGCGTCTTGATCCGTCGAAATATCCATCCGTCCGTCATATAGTTCACATTATTTTACCAATTTTGACTTTGACTAGCCTTATATATATTGATTACTTTACAGTAAGGAAAGTTGCAAAATTACCTAACACATTGCTTTCATCATGAGTACTTACAACATATCATACCTTGACAGCTAAATTTTAAATTTATTTACTTGGAATATAGATAATTTGCATCAAACATTGCTTTCTTCATATGTACTAACTACGGGTCGTACATTGGCAGCGAAAAAAATCCTTGGAAAACTTCCTATCACAAAGTTTGCTGAATTGTAAATCGTTTTACTGTAGAACCAAAGTGCCAAACTAAATGCACAATGGAATACAATCCTCAATGTGGTACAGATGGTAAAACATATGGTAACCCGTGTCAACTGAAAGCCACTTTGTGTGAGAGTGATGGAAAAGTGAGACTGGCTCATCATGGAGAGTGCAGTATGTACATTACACAGAATTTTAGTTTGTTTTATATATTCTGTTATTCTAATCGGACAAAAATTACGATGTCATATAACATGATAGCCGTATACTAGATTTTAAACGCTTAATCTTCTATCTTAGAACCAAAGACGAAGCCAACGTGTCTCGTTGCTTGTCCCGCAATATTACTTCCTTCAGTATGTGGATCAGATGGCAATACATATCCCAATTACTGCGTATTGGAAGAGACTGCTTGTCAATTCAAACAGAACATCACGGTTGTAGACAAAGGACCTTGCAGTAAGTCGAATTTAATCAAAAAAAATTTTACTATCGTTTTTACGGCTACAAAGGATTTGGTGAACTTAATTCATTTTTTTCAGTATGTAATTATCACATAAGTGGCAAGTATAGCACAAAGAAATACGAATTAGGATATTTTGCATCAATTAAACATTGCTTTCTTTATATGTACTAACTACGGCTCGTACATTGGCAGCAAAAAAATCCCTGGAGAACTTCCTATCGCAAAGTTTGTTGAATTTTAAATATCTTTACTGTAGAACCAAAGTGCCAAACTGCATGCACACTGGAATACAATCCTCAATGTGGTACAGATGGTAAAACATATGGTAACCCGTGTCAGCTGAAACTCGCTTTGTGTGAGAGTGATGGAAAAGTGAGACTGGATCATCATGGAGAGTGCAGTATGTACATTACTCCTCAAATTCTAGTTTCTCCTATATATTCAGTTACTCTTCAACTTTAATTTCTCCAATCGGTATTAAAATAGACATTTAGATTGTATGATGTCATATACCGTGATATCGCAAGATTCCTTTACTTAAATGTTAATCTCTCATCTTAGAATCTAAAGGCTCCAAGGGTTACACGTACGGTGCAATTTCTCTTGCAACTTGCAGTGCGATTCTACTTCCTCGAAATTTATTTAAGAAATAGAAAACATTTTCCGTGTTTCCATACGCGTGGGAGTTTGGGAGAACGAGAATTAATGTTTCCACAAGTGTTTTTATAACTGTATAGAAACACAGGAAAAAATGTTTTCTACTTCTTTTATAATATATCTCAATAAAACGATTTTGAACCAATATTATAATTCGATTCAATTACAAATTCTCATTACATCGCTTCGCCTGTCAAGTTCTCCGGGAAAATTCCCGTGTTTCCATACAGTTATAGAAACACGCTTCTCGACCAATCAGCACGCGCGTACTATATATAAATGTTATATTATACACTAAAATATAATATCCCAAAATTCGTTTAATAGGCCTTTCCTATAATGACGTCAAACGTGGAAAGTCTGATGTTACACGAAATTTAATTGGCTCCACAAAATTATCGAGCGAATCAAACTTCGTGTAACATCAAACTTTCGGTGTTTGACTTCATTATGAAAAAGGTCTATTGCATGCCTATTAATCTCTCATCTTAGAAACTAAGAAGAAGACGTGTGCCGTGGTTTCTCCCAATATACTGCTTCCTCCAGTGTGTGGATCAGATGGCAATACATATCCCAATTACTGTATAATGGAAGAGACTGCTTGTTATTTCAAACAGAACATCACGGCTGTAGGCAATAGACCTTGCAGTAAGTCAAATTCGGCTCCAATGAATTTTAATATAAACTTAATACACTGTTGTCAGTGGATAATTATTACATAAATAAGTGGCAAATAATGCCAGACATACCAGAATTCGCACTCTGCAACATTGTTTTCTTCACCAATAGTAACTACAGATCGTACCTTGACAGGCAAAAAAATATCATAAAATAATTCTGTTAAAAAGTAAGCTGAATTATAAATCAATTTACTGTAGAACCAAAGTGTCGATTAGCATGCACACTGGAATACAATCCTCAATGTGGTACAGATAGTAGAACATATGGTAACCCGTGTCAATTGAAATTTGCATTGTGTGAGAGTGATGGGGGAGTTAAACTGGCACATCATGGGAAGTGTGGTATGTACATTACTCTTTAACTTTAACTTCTCCAATCGGCACTAAAAGAACATATTGCAAGATACTCTGGATTGTATGATGTCATGTTATATGATATACCAAGATTTGTTTAATCCCTTCGTATCCCAACTTAGAAATTAAGCCAAAGAAGTGTCTCGTTGGTTGTCCCAGAATAATACTCCCTCCAGTTTGTGGATCAGATGGCAACACATATCCCAATTACTGCATATTGGAAGAGACTGCTTGTCAATTCAAACAGAACATCACGGTTGTAGGCAAAGAACCTTGCGGTAAGTCAAATTTATCACCAATAAAGTTTTTTTACTATAATTTAACGGCTACAAATGATTTGGTAAACTTAATTCACTTTTTTCGTATGTAATTATCACATAAGTGGCATGTATGGCAAAGAAATAGGAATTAAGATAATTTGCATCAAACATTGCTTTCTTCATATGTACCAACTACGGCTCGTACATTGGCTGCAAAAAAAATCCTTGAGAACTTCCTATCTTCGCAAAGTTTGTTGAATTGTAAATCTTTTTACTGTAGAACCAAAGTGCCAAACTAAATGCACACTGGAATACAATCCTCAATGTGGTACAGATGGTAAAACATATGGTAACCCGTGTCTACTGAAAGTCGCCTTGTGTGAGAGTGATGGAGAAGTGAGACTGGATCATCATGGAGAGTGCAGTATGTACATTACAACTCAAATTCTAGTTTCTCCTATATATTCAGTTATTCCAAACGGTATTCCAAACAATCCTCTGCATGGACTGTATGATGTCATGTAATATGATATCCCAAGATTCATTTTTATGATCGCTTAATCTCCCACCTTAGAAACTAAACCAAAGAAGTGTCTCGTTGCTTGTCCCAAAATAATGCTTCCTTCAGTATGTGGATCAGATGGCAATACATATCCCAATTACTGCATATTGGAAGAGACTGCTTGTCAATTCAAACAGAACATCACGGTTGTAGGCAAAGAACCTTGCGGTAAGTCAAATTTATCACCAATAAAGTTTTTTTACTATAGTTTAACGGCTACAAATGATTTGGTAAACTTAATTCACTTTTTTCGTATGTAATTATCACATAAGTGGCAAGTATAGCAAAGAAATAGGAATTAAGATAATTTTCATGAAACACTTATTGCTTTCTTTATGTGTACTAACTACGGGTCGAATTGTAAATCTCTTTACTGTAGAACCAAGGTGCCAAATTGCATGCACAAAAGAATACAATCCTCAATGTGGTACAGATGGTAAAACATATGGTAACCCGTGTCAACTGAAAGCCACCTTGTGTGAGAGTGATGGAAAAGTGAGACTGGATCATCATGGAGAGTGCAGTATGTACATTACAACTCAAATGCTAGATTCTCCTATATATTCAGTTATTCCATACGGTATTCCAAACAATCCTCTGCATGGACTGTATGATGTCATGTAATATGATATCCCAAGATTCATTTTTATGATCGCTTAATCTCCCACCTTAGAAACTAAACCAAAGAAGTGTCTCGTTGCTTGTCCCAAAATAATGCTTCCTTCAGTATGTGGATCAGATGGCAATACATATCCCAATTACTGCATATTGGAAGAGACTGCTTGTCAATTCAAACAGAACATCACGGTTGTAGGCAAAGAACCTTGCGGTAAGTCAAATTTATCACCAATAAAGTTTTTTTACTATAGTTTAACGGCTACAAATGATTTGGTAAACTTAATTCACTTTTTTCGTATGTAATTATCACATAAGTGGCAAGTATAGCAAAGAAATAGGAATTAAGATAATTTTCATGAAACACTTATTGCTTTCTTTATGTGTACTAACTACGGGTCGAATTGTAAATCTCTTTACTGTAGAACCAAGGTGCCAAATTGCATGCACAAAAGAATACAATCCTCAATGTGGTACAGATGGTAAAACATATGGTAACCCGTGTCAACTGAAAGCCACCTTGTGTGAGAGTGATGGAAAAGTGAGACTGGATCATCATGGAGAGTGCAGTATGTACATTACAACTCAAATGCTAGATTCTCCTATATATTCAGTTATTCCATACGGTATTCCAAACAATCCTCTGCATGGACTGTATGATGTCATGTAATATGATATCCCAAGATTCATTTTTATGATCGCTTAATCTCCCACCTTAGAAACTAAACCAAAGAAGTGTCTCGTTGCTTGTCCCAGAATAATGCTTCCTCCAGTATGTGGATCAGATGGCAATACGTATCCCAATTACTGCATATTGGAAGAGACTGCTTGTCAATTCAAACAGAACATCACGGTTGTAGGCAAAGAACCTTGCGGTAAGTCAAATTTATCACCAATAAAGTTTTTTTATTATAGTTTTTACGGCTACAAAGGATTTGGTAAACTTAATTCAATTTTTTCAGTATGCACTTACCAACTAAGTGGCAAGTATAGCAAAGAAATACGAATTAAGATATTTTGCATCAAACATAGCTTTCTTTATTTGTACTAACTACGGCTCGTACATTGGCAGCAAAAAAATCCCTGGAGAACTTCCTATCGCAAAGTTAGCTGAATTGTAAATATCTTTACTGTAGAACCAAAGTGTCGTAATTACTGCACACTGGAATACAATCCTCAATGTGGTACAGATGGTAAAACATATGGTAACCCGTGTCAACTGAAAGTCGCCTGGTGTGAGAGTGATGGAGAAGTGAGACTGGATCATCATGGAGAGTGCAGTATGTACATTACTCCTCAAATTTTAGTCTCTCCTATATATTCAATTATTTCAAACGGTATTCCAAACAATCCTCTGCATGGACAGTATGATGTCATGTAATATGATATCCCAAGATTCATTTTTATGATCGCTTAATCTCCCACCTTAGAAACTAAACCAAAGAAGTGTCTCGTTGCTTGTCCCAGAATAATACTTCCTCCAGTATGTGGATCAGATGGCAATACATATCCCAATTACTGCATATTGGAAGAGACTGCTTGTCAATTCAAACAGAACATCACGGTTGTAGGCAAAGAACCTTGCAGTAAGTCGAATTCATAATAACTAAAGTTTTTTGTTTATAGTTTTTACGGCTGCATGGAATTTGAGTAAAAGTATTGGTTATTGTAATAATTGTGCTTCGATGAAGAAGTTTTTTTTACTGATCATGATGATCTTATGTAGTTTAAGTCTTTTCTGTTCCTATAAAATGAAAAATTTAGTATAAAAAATTTGTGAAACATGCATGGTAGCCTATTTACAACTACCTTCATATGTATAATGGAATTGAGCCAGCCGTATCTTCTAATCCACCTCTTTCGCCGTATGAATTTGACGAAAAATTTGCCGTTAAATATACTGCTGTGAAAAACCAAGAGAATTTAACGTCGGATGGAAATGAGTAGTCTTTCCCCGTCTCCCGCAATGGCTTTCTGCACGCAGATATTTGTTGCGTCATTATTCATGTGGTCAGATGAATATAATGTTCAATTCTCAATCCATTGTAGAACCAAAGTGTTCAGCGATTTGCACCGAGGAATACAATCCTCAATGTGGTACAGATGGCAGGACATACTCAAACCCGTGTACCTTTAAACAAGCTCAATGTGAAAGTGACGGGAAGATTCGATTGGCCCATCATGGAGAATGCAAAGTGTAAGTCACTCTCCTAATTTGGATATCAATGAAAATATCGGTCTCTGATTGGTCGAGCAACCTTTGACATTACGCGATAATCAAGTATTAGCGGAATTTTCAAAATTGGGGCGAGCTGAGTTGTTTTTTTATTAGTGAGGAACAGAAGAAGAAATCGGTAATTTTTGCAAAAAAGAGATTGCTCTATATCTAAAACAACATAAACAAAAAATGGCTTGAAATTATTCGGTGGTAAAAAAGCTACGTCCTACAACGGGTGGCCAATTTTATTTCGCATAAAATATTGTGTTATTCAAATCATGGCAAATTATCGAGAAGTTTGTTCAATCTATTCGAGCAAACGTCGGTGTAAATTCGGCTTATTGTAAACGCCCAACAAATTTCAAATACAAGTTATCTTAGCATTGTAACCCAGTCAATACCTGCCAATACCATCTATGCAGCCATGCACTTTCGCTTTCAGTTTCGGTGCAATAAAATATTGATCACCTTTACCTTATTCACTATTTCATATAGGCCTGTGGAGGTTTAAAGAACGAAGGGATGCTGATGAGTTTTTATTAGTGTCTAGTTTCGTACAGTGTGCCTTACTTTAATTATCATTGTTCAAAGATTTTTCATGATGCTTTATGAATGCCTTTTATTGTGTTAGCTGTTCAATTGTAGCCTGTATTAAAAACTGTATTATGTCTTATTTTTTCCAAATACATGTTCTAGTCTTTAGCATTGGCCAGTTCATCGTTTTGGTTTTTCGAAGGGTATTTAAACAATTACAAACTGATATAACCAGGGAGCAGCGTGGCAGCGTCTTCAAACAACTTAGCATCAAATGTTATATACTGACCAGCAGCGTAATCAGCCTGACGATTTGTCCAACTATGTTAATATTTTGGTGTTCATTGACTGTGAAAAAAATTAATTTCTAAGGAAATGAATAATTGTAATAACTCGAAATTTACGTAGCGAGACAAAATCGTCAGGCTGGCTTCGCCACTGCGTATAACAACTGCATAAAAATAGACAAAACACATCTCGACGTTTCGACCTGAGCCTGAGGGCCTTCGTCAGCCGTCAGGAGAGTAACAAACTAGTTATACCACATTTGATGCTAAATTACAAACTGAGTCAATTATAAACAATATTCTAACTCCATTTATTACAATTTAAGAATCGGGGATCCATGGTATTATTTTATTCTTATGACAAATGTGACCCAATATACGAGTCTCTCATAGAATAGAAGAAAGACAAAGATTCTTCATTCTTTGGCAAGAATTCAGTGGCGAATCAAAATAATACATTTTTGATTTTGATTTTATTAAATTTGCCACTGAAAAAGACGTACATTACATATACAAATAACTACTCAATTAATAAAATGGCAGGGTCACCACAACAGCGGTGGCCAATTACCGTGGGCCCAAAATCGACTAACGGCTAGTCTCTACTCAGGAAAATTCTCCTTTGGACCAGACAGGACAGGAAAATTTCCTTTGTCGATGAGTTCTCAGGCGGCGTTTATACAAAGGAAACATTCCTGTCCTGTCCGATCCAAAGGAGAATTTTTCTGAGTGGAAACTAGCCTTAACACAAAAAAGGAAAAACTTCTGCGCATATGATACATATATATATATATATATATATATATATATATATATATATATATATATATATATATATATATATAAATATATATACCAATACTTCTGCGCATATGATACATATATATATATATACCAATACTTCTGCGCATATACATATGACGCAAAATCTGAATATGAAATTTGAAACAAAACTTACCCATTAATTGATAAAATATAAGTTAAGCAAACGCGAAAATATATAGGCAATATGAAATCAAAACCAATACCAAACAATCATTAAAAGCATCCTAGCACTTAAGTATCGAACGAATTTAAATTCGTTTAAATTTCCTTTATTTAAGGAAAAATCTTGATTTATTCTGTTTTACAAATTTCAAGGGTGCAAACTTAAGCGACCCTGAATATTTTTTCTCCCAAAACTGATATACGAAGAACGCGAGAATTAAACAAATTCAATCATTCAAGGTTTTTAATGAACATTCGTGATGTTGTAAGAAAGCCTTCTATTTTGTTAGCTGTTTAACTGTGTTATGTTCCCTTTCGAAAAAATGTTTGAGTCTTTAGCACTGGTTCTCTTTTTATTATTTATTGTTGTTCATGCGATCGACACCCATAAGAAGCATGACGTTTAAAACAGGCAAGACCTTAAGCAGGTTTTCCACTACGCGATATTTTTCGAACGAAATTTTTCGCTCGATTTTCTTTTTAATCGTGAGAATTCGACCGTAGTGGATTCCCTTCACCGGTCACAATTGAAAAGATTGCCTTAACCTAGGGCCTCAAGGCTGTTTTCTACTAGGCAAAAGGACTTATTACATATTCATATAGCTAGGCGATGAAAATAGGGATTAAGCTGTTCAATCAGATGAATGCGTAACGAAGTAAGGAGTTGCTGTTCAGTCATAAGATTAGGTAGAGTTCAAACTACAGGGCGTCCCAAAAAAAACGAAAACTATTGAAATCACTCATTGTTAAAATTCGAATGCCGTGTTCACGAATTTCAGCCCGTGGGGGATTTAATGCAACTTATAAAATGCTAAATGCTTTGTGTTGCTAAAGAAAGGGGACATCTCGAAGGTCATGGTCCTTGAGATGCACATTTAAATATTGTTATCCATATTTGTAAATTGTAAATATTGTTAATAAATATCATTTTTGCGAACAAGCAAATTTTACTGCATCATATGCATGCATAAAAATCAGTATGGTAAACATTTATACACCTGTGGGTCCCAACAGAGTGCTTAGGCATTCAAACTCTAACAATTGCATTGTTATGCGTGATTTCAATAGTTTTCGTTTTTTTTGGGACACCCTGTAGTTTTATATTTGTTCGGCTCAGAAGGGAGCGTGGCTTCTAGTAGCAAAAGAAAGAATTTCGAGCTCGAGATCCTCAAAGCGTGGAAACTACGATTGAGGTCATGATGAATCTTATTCTACAAACAACGCGTTATACTGTAGAAATCGATTTGAAGATTGGCAAAATGGGCGAGAAAATAAACCAGTCGTGTGTGAGTCACGACAATGATTTGCCTTAAGATCTGAAGAATAATGACGATAGAAACATCAAACCTCCGGCTTATCAAATTTGTTCAAAACGCCAGCTTACGACAAAGACAGCAAGCCATATTCCTGGGCGGTCAGTATATGCGTGCTCGTTCAAGCGACATTAAAGAAAAAAATGCCCGTGAACGGGGTGAAGCAAACATGTTAAATGCTAACAATCTCTGGTAAGTCAAATATTTCATGTTTAAGTAATCGCTTTAGTTAAACGTAGGTGTGATCATATTTTGTTGCTTGAAGTGTGACTGAATGTTTCTGTAGTTCAAAGTTATTTCTAAATACGTATTCTTAGGCCTCAGAACAAGTGAGCAACAAGGTGGAACTTCGTTTTAAACTAATAGATAACTTTCACCGTAGCACGAGAACGAACGAATAGCTTCATTAATATCATTAATATCATTAACGGTACGAAAGAATTGTGAAATCCTCATTCCCCAGAGTGAATGTTTTGTTATGTGATCAAATGAAAATAAGCACAGCTGTTAAAGCATGGACATCAGTATACATAGCCAATTTTCAACAATTGCATGACAAATCAGCCTGGCATTCAATTATAAATAGTGTTAATGTGTTATACAGCGATAAATACTTCTATAAGGCAGTTGTAAATAAGCTTCTGTGTAGTTAGTAGGGTTAACCATAGATACGTGGTAACGTCAAAAATAGCGTGTACGTGGTTTGACAACAAGAAGAACTATGAAGATAGTAATTCAATATGCCAAAGGCATTCAAAGTTAAATAATGCATATATTACTCAGATTTATTCGGTACACATGCAATGGCCCATTCTATTGTCTCCTGTTGTCGGTATTCTCGTTCGTATTTGTCTTATCTCGTTCATATGTGCATAACGAGCATAAAATTCTATGCACAAGTAATTAAAATTCCTGCATATTCGTTCGTTCTCGTCCTACGGTGAAAGTTATCTAATCGGCATATTTGTTTACATTTTTTATTCAAAGCCAATCAGAATATCTAAATTTGTAATCCTTAGTGAAAAATGGTAAATAACGTGCCTTCTTACCGGAAGTAGTCAAAATCTGCATTTTGATTGGTTACTGAAAATGTGAAGAAACTATCTGATTGGTCAAAAACGAAATTCCCCTTGATGCTCAGAGCCTGTTTATATGGGGCGAGCTATCCCGGCTAGACGAGGTGAAAAGTGAAAACTACATACAGGGTGTATAAAAAAAAACGCAATATTCTAAAATTCATATTGTTCATAAGCTCAATAGATTTTATGCCCCTGGGATTTTAAAATGGCTTCTAATCGTACAGTTCAACTGCTAATGGTCAAATCAGCTAAACTAATAATGGTGCAGTTAACAACCGAACAACGAGTTTTTATTGTCGTGCATGATAACTTGAATGCTAACTGTCGACCTTGTAAAATAAATTGTAAATAAAATTTTAGCACGTTGGTTTACGCACCCGACTTTGTTTCCCGACGATTGTGCCGCTAGAATATGATTACAAGCTTTCTCGCATTCCAGGGGCCAAACGTCTTTTGTGTTGTAGAACAAAGAGGATATTCATGAATATCAAGTGGTTGCGTTTTTTTTTATACACCCTGTATAATGAAAGATTAATTAATCAGGTTACATAATTATCCGGTTTACCTCGCCTAGCTGGGATAACTCGCTCCATGTCAGGCCCTTATGCTATTTAGAATCATAGCAATTGAATATAATTTGCATTTTTTTTAACAAATCTCGTATTTCGTAAGTTTTAAACCTGTCTGTCTCAGCCGAGGGCCGGCCCTACCCTGAATTGAGGGAAATAAGCGAGGACAGGTTGGCGAGACAGTTGCCAAAAAATATACTTGATATCGAAACCAAAACTCGGTAGTGTTTTAGGTGGGGTACAGTACAGTTCACAATGTTAACAAACGTTAAAAACTATAGTCAAAATCAAGTCTGCTCATCGGTCCTCTTGATAACAATGTGAGGTACTCATGCAGATAAAAAATTTGCCCAAATTTCGCATGTCTCGAATTTTCTAATCAAAAACATTAATATATTGTCGGGAAGAAGGAAAACTAAATATCTATGCAAGTATCTGGGCTAAAGACCCCCGGAATACCACCAAACGATGAAAAGACAATTTAAATAGTACATTCAAACCAGCATATAGTGATAAGCTGCATTTGTAAGTCAGAATTATAGGTTGCTTTGTGATCTCAAATTACTCACCCATAGCAACCGTATACTTCGTATTCCGTATTTTCTCACTTTTTTGTTTTCTGTTGTTTTTAAAATGTCTGAATTTTACATATTATCATTCTGTTATAATTCTGAGTAATTGTTGCGGCAGGATGTGCAAAAGAATCGGAGAAATATCGTTTTATAAGTTCTAACACAACGTCTTTCAAATGTATTTCTAGAAGTTCATTATTTTAAAATGTAAACCGTTTGTTTACATACGGACTAGCTTGAATTCCACTTTAAATTTTTTATTGTTATAATCTTTAAAATATGACGTGCCACACAAAAAATTTAACACTTTTTGGTTCGGCATACCCCTGAAAGAATATAAAATCTTATGTCAGGTAAACAACATAAATGTAACGGTATGTGGCATTTGAGAAATTTTATTGCTGGAAAGGAAGTCTACTCACCCACGCAGCCACCACAGGCACAAATTGTGTGTGTGCGCGGTCAAAATTCAAAAGATAACACACGAATATTTCAGGCGACAAAGCCATTTGATAAATATTTTCAAGCGCGATATTCGTCGATAAGTTTTCTGCAACGTGGCGCAAAGGCCGGCGCCATATCAAATAACTGATAACACATTATTATTGTCACCGGACGTTCATCGCGGCTGTGAATTCACGTGAAACTTTAAACGTCTTCCGCTCTCTGTGTGTGTAACGCGGGCAAACAAACGGATCATCTGTCAACACGAATTATCCGCATAGTTCGTCTATTTAGACGAATTTCAATGGGTGGTTCGTCTTAACGCATCATGCATTCGTCTGTTAATATAAATACAGGGTTGGGTAATAACGAAAAATTCATAATAAACGGCTCTTATGCATTCTTTTTACCAATTCCCCATGATTCCCGTGTAGTTACTAAACACGCGATGTTTATCTTTTTGACTGTTTCATCTTCAACACTTGATAAAAAGTATTCTCTCATTTTGCTGCATCGCTGGCACGTGAGAAATCTCATCTGTACTCAATTTCAAGGCATAGGCTTTGAATTTGAATTTGAGCGGGCGTTTAGGCATTCGCTTCAAGCCTCCATGCCCATTTTCACATTTGGGGTTATTTGTGTTGCGAACGATATTTGAGTTCTATAAACAAGTGCTACATGTTGTTCACAATTCAATATAAACAAAACATCTTTAAATTGTTGGTTTTAACTTTGCGATTAATCCAGAAGGTTATCAGTACCAATTAGCCATTTCCCAATCGAGCGGGGCACTGGGTCGAGTCGGGAACCGCAAAGCATCTATGGACTGTTTGGAGGGACAAGAAATATAAGTCTGAAATTATTTGTTCCTTCCAAACAGTCCATAGATGCTTTGCGGTTCGCGACTAGACATAGTACGCTGCCGGCTCGATTAGGAAATGGCTTATTAGCTACCCGTGGTGAAAATGCATGAAAACGATTGATATTTTTTATTGCATCATTATGGCAAAATTACTCCTTTCGTTCTTGATCGCAGCATATTACACAAATCTACGAACTCGCACCGCTTTCTAGGAATTGATTCATTATTTCGCTTTTTGAGAAATTTGGGAACAAACAATCGTATACCCGGAAGCTTATGTACCCTGAAAAGCTGGGGTTTTCCAGTGAAGTGCGTCACTTTCTGTCTTTCATCCACGGAACGCGCGTCTGTCTAACAGGCCACCGTACTTGAGGCTGTCGCGGAGTCACAAATCAAGGTAAGAAAATTTTCATCTTCATGAAATGACTTTCAAATCATTCAACAGGTGCAAATTCGAATTCTATCCCCACTTTTAGCAGCATTCCGGGTGTCGCTTTCATGAGTGCCCTATATACACTAATTGAACCCCATGTCACTCTGAAGCAAAACTTAAATATCTCTGCAAGTATTTGGGCTAAAGACCCTGGAATACGAACAAACGATAGCACTTGAAAGGATTATTTAAACAGTATATTCAAACCAGCAGATAGTTATAAGCTGTTTTTGTATTATAAGTCAAAAACATAAGTCAAAAGTGCTTTGTTAGCTCAAATTACTCACCCATAGCAACCATGTACTTTAGAAATTCCGTATTTTTTCGGGGTTTTTTGTGCTCTGTTGTCTTCTAAATTTCTGAATTTTACATCTTATCATTCTGTTATAATTCCGAGTAATTTTGGGGGTAGCATGTGCAAAAGAATCGGAGAAATAGCGTTTCGCATGCAAGTTCTAACAAATAATCGTTGCTGAGCGCGTGCATAGCGCGTGCTTACTGCGGGCTCGGACTGTCATGCGGTTAGAAAAGAAGACAAAACTCTATGGTCGACGCCCTCCCCCTAGGCAAATTTGGCCCCAAATATCGATTCCTGACCTAAAATTAGACCAAGGGGCCTTTTAGTTTGCATTTTGGGCAATATTTTATAGATTAGGCCGCTTTGATGTGTAATAGTGAATAATAAATAAATTGCATGAATTTTAAAGTGAATATCATAGCGAATTGGCAACATGTCGATCTAAAAAGAACATGTATCTACTTAGCACAATTTTCTCTTTAAAATAGTTCAATTTTTATCGAAATCGGTCAAGTATTCGCGCAGGAATCGCAAATTAAAATGAGCTAATTTCGTCGTCGTGAGCTAATTTCGTCGTTAGTAGCTAACTTCCTGCATCGTGTCTCGAACGGGGTCTTACGTGACTCACGTGTTTCCGACATCAGTTTAATCTTTCATTTGGCAGATCATGCTTACTTCCTTTTATTTGTTGATATATCTAAAGCCTTTAATTTAGTAAATCATAAATTAATGTTTAAAAAGCTTATATAGGATTATCTGAAAGTGCTGTGAAATGGTTCGAAACTTCAAGTCGTATCAACCTATATCAGGGGACAGGGGCCATGCAGTTGTATAAAAGACCAGCTAACTTTTAACTGTAGTTATTTAAGGACAGAATTAGTCAATATGAGTCTTCCTGTCTAGCCTCCTTCTCAAGCATCTCTTACGTATTAAATTACATTAGGCTATTAGGCATGGGTTATATAGCTATGTCATGGAAGGCGAGGAAAAAAGTCGGAGAGATGCCTGCCATAAATCGACACAGCAAGTTGCACTGCGCATACCAGCTCGCGCATGCTAATTTTAGAAAAAAATGACAAAATTGCAATTTTACAACCCATAATGATAAACTACAGTGTAGGTAATATGTGTTTTTATTATTACTGGGTCACTTGGAAGCTCTTTTCCTTCAAAATAAACTATTGCCCTTTTTATTGTCTCTGTCATCCTTGTTTTGAGTGCATGATGGATTAAATATTAATTAAAAGTCAGATAAATATTTTTTACTGAAAGTGGTGGCTTGCCTAGTTTTTATATTACCCAACTGAACCTAACTGAATGAGGGATAATATGAGGGATTTGTTCCTAATTTATGTGCTCTCCAACTCAATTGCATGCAAATGCCACTCGTGTTTATAAAGTTATGACAACTATATATACTATATATACTATATCAATTATATCAATAAACCTTTTCGTTTTGTTCCTCCTGGTGTCCGTACGACAATGTAGGTTTGAAACCCTAACTTTATGGTTATTATTGTTATCGCATGACGTTTATTTCCGTTTTGGTACTTCCTGCGACTACACGCGCAGCTGCACCCAGTTTAGTGTTTCATTGTGTATCATTGTCGACCAGAGTGAGGTCACTCTATTCCGGCTACAATTGGATATTTAGATCTACGTTAGAACTCTATCGACGGTATTTACCAGCAGTTTGGTGTGTGCGCCAACTAAAGTAAGACTCCTTCCTTGTATTATTATAGCTTATAAACATAACTACGTTAGTTGATTTGTTCTATATTTAATGCATGCCTGCATACAGTATGTGATTTGTTTAAATTGCATGACGCGCATTCTATTCCGCGATCACTCTACACCAAACATTACGTTACCCAACGATCAGTTAGCATATCTTCAACCGCGCCATATTATAAACTTCATCATTAAATGCTACATTTTATAACTATTATCCGCGCACGTGTTATTCTACCAACGTGGGTTAGCGAATTTAGTTGAGTTCAATTTATGGTGTTAACCGCACACCAAAGCAGCGTAGCTCTTAGAGGAATTTGGGAGTTATATTACAGACAGTTTTTTCTTTTAGCCTCAGTTTATAGATAACCACAAACTAATTATTATATACCACTTGTGAAAGTTTGGTATGTCGCTCCCGCGGCCCCTTGGAGAGGAGATATTACGTTATTATCACGTGCAACGCTGTTTCTCTCTTTTGAAATCATAGCATATAGATATTTCGCTGTTTACTTGTTACCATTCGGTTTTCGTGTTATCGTAAACTTATAAACACCTCAGTTGGTTTTATTTTCATCAGCCTACGGTTTATAGACAGATTTCACCAGCATATTCTTTGACAATTCTTTATCATATCATGCTCAAGCTTATCCAATAATTGCGTGACACTTATTACCTTCATATTAATGGACAATGGTATCACTTCCATGATTGTTAAGGTATTTCTCAACCGAGTTTCATGTAACCTTTGCTTTTTTCAAATTAATTTTGCATATTAAGACGGTTTTCCACTAGGCCCAATTTTTCGATTGAACTAAATTTTTCGTCTGATTGTCTTATAAATTGTGCGAATTCGACCATTGACCAGCCACAATCAAAAATAAAATCAAGCTAAGCGATACATTTCGTTAGAACGAAAAATTCTGCCTCGTGGAAAACCGCCTTTTGGAGCTCACAAAATGAAAGAAAAATTTCGTTCTGAGTAGAAAATTTCGACATGTGGAAGTTTTGACTGACTCATTATTTTAACACGTGTAGATTCGAATCCTGTTTCAAGATGCCTTTATCAAACCTCTTGGTTTGTCTCGTGTTTTTGCAACTATTAACGGCGATAGTGGCTTCTAGAAATTCGGTAAACGGTAAAATGAGTAAAAGGAATGTCAGCTCAACTTCTTGCAAGAATGTTCAGTTTGATGAAACAAAATTGGCCGACGTGCTACATTTGATGCGGAAACCTGCCATAAACACGATTAAAATAACAGTGACCGTTTCGTCTGCGAACAGAACTCGAGTTTTTCCAGAAATGAAGTGGGTGTGGGCGAACGAAATTGGTCGGACCTTAATCTCGTTGATCTCTCGCGCTGAATCTATGTTCGCTTCGGCGATTTATACTTTTCCATTAGAAGTCGGAATGGAGAAAGTCTCTATGGAAGTGACGGAAGAACCTACTGGTTGTTTAACTTCCGGCAAAGAAGGGTTAGACCTTGTTTTTGACTCTCTTTTGGATAAGCTGTTTTTACACATGGAAGATAAAGACAAAGACAGGTACTACAAACTTTGTCGTCCGTACGACGACAACAAAGGACCCGTTCAGTTCAAGTGTTGTGGAAAATTAGGTGATGGGAAGTTGTCAATCTGCGGAGATTATTCTTCTATTGTACTTCGATGGGCTCTCCCAGGTTTAATAGTTGGAGTGGTAATATTCTCTTCAATGACGTTACCTTTCTTACTGGAGTACATAATAACCTACAAATACAAAGACTTTTACGAAACGTCATTCAGTCATATGTCTCTTATTTCCATCGTGTCGATGATATTTTTTGAAGGTCAGGGAACAACCAAGTCTTTGTTCAGGCGATATGCTTTCGTAGGGGTTACGTGGGTAGTATTGTTCTTAACTGATTTTTTGGGGATTTGGGAGTTGAAAATTCTCTTCGGTATATGGGCTATTCTTTTCTGTTTCGACATGACGTTTGATATGACGGACAATGAATTGGAGCCACGTTTTGGAGGAAAACTCATATCTTGTTTTTCAGGACCTTTCTTTCTTCCTTTTAATTTCATACGTTCGCTCAGCAAAAACACCGCTACTTGGCATCAAAACTGTGCGCCCATTATTCAGAACTTGATCGATTTTCTTAAAAGTTCTCTTGTTTGCATTTTGACCCTTATCTATTTTACGCTGGTTTTTCCATTCCTCGTCGCAAAGAATTTACTTTGTTTCATATTTGATTTTTTTGGGGGGTTTGTCTTTCCTTATCGCTGTTATAGACAAAGTCTCTTCGAAAAATTAAAAAATTGTTACACGATTGTTTTAAGATTATTTACTTTAGTCGCCATCGTATTCTTAATGGTTTCGTCGCTCATATTCGTTCTTTCCATTATCGTTGGTGTGATTCTGAATGGTGAGTTCTTTAGTCCTTTTATCGCTCCCGTTGTGACTCTGATTGTCTTTTTTTGGAAAAACTGGAAGTTCTCGGTTGAAGCGCAATGTCTGCAGCTCAAAACATTAATCATTGAGGTTGGGAAGCAAAAAATTACGTCGCTTGGTGCTGACGAAAAAGATAGCAGTAATGTCCCCACCGAAAACATTGGAGAAACCAGTTTTAACAACGACGCATCGTTGACAACCAGTCCTGTTTCAAATGAGGTCAATCATAGTGGAGATATTGGTGCCTCGGAAACCCGTTCCAATCGGACAGCAACTTCAAATGCAGTCGGCGGGGACAATCGTAGAGAAGATGATCGACCAGATGAGAGTACTGGTGAACCCAACAACGAAGGGGGCAGAAGAACAACCTGGTATGTTCCAGACTTGAGACAAGGTTTGTGCTAAACATTCTGTGCAGGATTTTCTGGCATTATTGATGGAAATTTCGATGAGATTACATGCATACAGATTGTTTGCATTATTGACGTCATAACAATGCTTCATTTCATTTTCTCAGGAGGAGACCAAAATTTTACCAGTGTATGGGGAGGGGTCCTATGGTCTTCATAATTCCTAAAGTAACTATTATCGTTTTGCAGATGGTAACGGCTATCAAGAATGTGGAAGCAGTTCACACGATGTAAACAACAATGCCGCGGAAAAATCACTCGCTATCAAATTTGACACAACTGGCGAAGCAATTATCTCGAGAGAATTTTTTAAAGAAGTTAGCAAAATTGTCCTTTCTTTGGACCATCTCCTGTTTTGTTTCTTCAGAAGAGTCGTCATCGTTGGTATTTACGCATGGATCATGTTCATTGTCATGATTCTGGTTCAAGAAACTGGACTTTCCGGAAGTCTCCAAGCAATCAGCACCATTGTTGCTATCCTGGTACCCTTTGTTTTTGACATGATTTATGCTGATCACCATTCGGCTCAGAAATACTCCGGTAGTATGGCAATGAAAGAGCGACTTGGTCATACATTGAGAGTTTGTGGAATCAAAGAAAACATGATCGTTTTTAAATTGATTAACATCGACAATGAAGAAAGTGGAGTCTCAATACAACCCTGTTCACTAGCAATCGATATCGCATATTGTGGAGAGCGCTGTCAGCCTGTGTAACAAAATGACAACTAATGTATTCAGTAGCTACCTTGTTTTTTATGAAAATAATCAAGAATTATCACCGTTATATCAATGTTATATCACCATATCAATGATACTGATTCAAGCCTTTTAAAATTGACGATAAACCAGCTTAATTTTATATGCTGTAGTTTGCTAGAAATTGCGTATGTAGCAATCAAATATCGAACGAACTAACCTTCAATTAGCCAATCATGTGAACGCGATTCTTAACTCACTCAGAACGCCCAGAGGCCAGTCGTACGAAAGCTGGATAGTGCTATTCACCGGATAGTGATTTTTAACGTTCCAAAATCCCTGTTGTTCGGTAAAAACTTTTATTAAATCATAGTATTCATATATTGGAAATTCTCTTTATTAATTCTTAGCTAAAATCTTCGGTTTTACAACTTTTCGCGCCATCCAGCCTTCGTACAACCGGCCCCATGCCTTTGGCTGAGATGAATTAGATTCAATTGTGTCCCATTGTGTACTAGTATAGTGGTTTTGTTAAAATACTGAAAATATATATGCAAAATTTTTTGTATGTTCAAGAATTATCTCATTGTCAATCATCTACTTATCTTGAATTAGTCCAACATTGTCAGAGCCATATTGATGAACTAGCCGGGATAACTCGCTCCATGTCAGCTAGGCCCTTACGCTATTTAGAATCATAGCAATTGAATATATTTTGCATTTTTTTTACCCCTCAATTTCCCTGTTGTCCAAAGCCCGTCCGATTTAAAGTAATTAAACGAAGTATCGGGATAGATACACGTGACGTAAATTAGACTGTGTCATTAGCCGAAATTCTATGGTCTAATGAATATCATGAATATCTAATGTGTGTGATAAATAGATTTTCTGGTTGTAATCGCAAACAGTGGCCTGATTTATAGTAGAGACAAATCATCTGTCTGGACGAACTTGGCATTACCAGAAATTTGCGACATGATAATTTGCATGTATACTAATTTGCATTTAACTTTCAGCATAATGGCCTTCAACTTTCACTATAAAATACATATAGTAAATATACAAAACCTAAAAATGCCGTTGACCTAGATCTTGCCCACTGTTTGCCGACCTCTGGATCAATAGAACAGCCGTTTCCCAACGTTTTAATGATCGAATTACTTTCCTTAGGTATTTCTACGTTCGGCCAAATGATTGTGAACAAATGTGTATATAGCCTTCGTATTGTTCAAGTTCCAGACAAGACTGATAATATTTTTTAAAGTGATTGCAGTAAAAATCCGAGCCGTATAGAAAAGTTTATACACAAATACGAAAGAGAATATCTTAAACAATTTTTTTGGGTACATTATACGTCAATTCATCAACTACCTGAATCGAAATATTCGAATCAATGTGAGCGATTTTATAAGTTCGTGGACAGCACACGGACAAAACTTTGAGCAATATATTTTTAAATTTGGCCGAATGCAGAAATGCCCAAGCTAAAAAATCCTGTCACCAAAACGTTTCTAAACAGCTGCTCTATATACCGATCTAGAGGTCGGCAAACAGTGGGCAAGGTCTAGGGCAAGGGCATTTTTAAGTTTTGTCTATTTACTATATGTATTTTATAGTAAAAGTTGAAGGCCATTATACTGAAAGTTAAATGCAAATTAGTATACATGCAAATTATCATGTCGCAAATTTCTGGTAATGGACAAGGAAAAGATAGTTCGTCTGTGTGTAAACGCGGCCAGACAGACGGATCATCTGTCATGCAACACGAATTACCCGCATAGTTCGTCTATGCGGATGCATGAAAACGATTGATACTTTCTATTGCATCATTACAATTAATTATTGCATCATTATGGCATAATTACTCCTTTCGTTCTTGATCGCAGCAGATTACAAAAATCTGCGAACTAGATTTGACGAACTAGATTTTTCTAGATGTGACGACTAACTAATTTTATGCTTGCTAATGGCGACTTGCGCTTTAGACTAATTTCTTACCATGCACGGCGATAAAAAGGACATTTTCTAAAAGAGCTTTTTAAAATTAGTAAAACTGCCAAGTTTGGCTGGGAGTTGTTGTAAATTACGAAAAATATAGCCATGCGAAGTAGACGAATTTTGTATACTTTTGTATTACGGCTGGAAGTTTGTAACTAATTTAGTTACACATTTCCGCACGTAATACAAAAGTATACAAAATATACCAACTTCGGATGGCTATATTTTCCGTATTTTACAAAATCTCACAGCCAAACTTGGCGTTTGCACTAATTTAAGTAAGATCTTTCTAGCTGTGGTGATTTATTTCCTTCTAGTTACTTCCATCAAAATTTAGTCGAAAGCGCAAATCGTCCATTACAATACTAATAGCGTGGGGGCCGCAGTTTGAAAATCGCCCAAACAACGGGCTACAACTAATTTTTTCTTTACCGGTAAAACGTTAGCTAAACTTCATCGCCTTCGGGCACACCGGGAGAACATTTATCACATATAAAGTCGGAGAATATTTTTTCACATACAAAGTCGGAGAACATTTATTAGTCGTAGCAAAGATGTAAGTCACCACGTATTTGTTTATATGTTCAATCATTTGTCTTGTTTTTGTATAATCTTATATATGTAAATACTACAGGGTGTCTCAAAAAAAACGCAACCACTTAAATATGCAAGAATATTAACATTTTTCAGGTTTGCACCACAGTTCAGCTAAAATGACTTTAGCATTTTAAATGAAGGATTAAGAGGCATTTTCAATTCCCAGAGGTGCTTATCTATTGTGCTTTAGAGCTGTATTGATTTCGTGAGCTGTATTGAGACACTCTGTATAGCTATCTTTAATTGCCTTTTTAGTTTTTCCGACTGGTTACCGAATAAAATATTTATACTAACCGGTTTAAGTATGTTGCTTTACCGGTCTGGTCGACGCTCCGCGCCCTACCAGCAGGGACGCGACTAGGAATTTATTCATTATTGCGCTTTTTGAGAAATTCCGGGACCAAACAATCGTATACACGGAAGCTTATGCACCGCTACTGAAAAGCTGTGGTTTTCCACTGAAGTGCTTCACTTTCTGTCTTTCATCCACGGAACGCGCGTCTGTCTAACAGGCCACCGTACTCGAGGCTCGCGGAATCACAAATCAAGGTAAGATGCTTTTCATCTTTATGAAATGCCTTTCAAATCATTCAACAGGTGCAAATCGAATTCTATCCCCACTTTTAGCAACATTCCGGGTGTCGCTTTCATGAGTGCCCTATATATACACTAATTGAACTTTTGACCGTGCTGTCAAACTTAACATGTTGGCAACGGACTACTGAATGCGGTCGAGTTCGTTTTTGTCCACTGCTTGCAAATATTAGATACTTGTCATTTACAATTCATCTCAGATTATTCTACACGCGGAAATATCGTGTTTCGTAAGTTTTAAACCTTTCTGTCACACCTTTGTATAAAAAATCCTCCACAAGTGACGGCGCGTAGTCAATTTTGTTTCTACGTTCTTTATTCTGCTGATACAACCAAATAATAAGGTTTATGTCGTGGTCAAAATCACTGGTGTATGTCCACTATTAGGAATATGTTAATTTTTTTTACCCAACTGTTTGTTTTCAGAAATTTTGAAAACACTTAACTTAGTTCCGTACCCGTTGTTCCTTGTGCATCTGAACTCCCTAATGCTCGTTAATGCGGTTCCTATATTACTTTACAACTCTTTGGATCATTGACAAGGATAGGTGCGTACAAGCTCAAGTAGTAACTCAAGTATTTGTATTTATCTAATTAATGCATATGTCTGCGAACTATTCAAACTATTTTTCAGTTGTGTGAAACAGGATGCTCGTTGGGTCAAAATAAAACAGGATTCTTCCTACGCCTGCATTCAAAAATAGTCCTCTCATCGCGCAGTATGAATCCGTATAAAGCTAATCATATAGCTAAGCACTGAGCGAAGCTAAGGGCCGGCCTTACCCTGAATTGAGAGAAATAAGCGACGTCAGGTTGGTGAGACAAAGCCAAAAAAATACCTGATATCGAAACCAAAACTCGGTAGTGTTTTAGGTGGGGTACAGTACAGTTCACAATGTAAACAAACGTTAAAAACTATAGTCAAAATCAAGTCTGCACATCGGTCCTCTTGATAACAATGTGAGGTCCTCAGATAGAGTCCTCGCATGTCTCGAATTTTCTAATCAAAATCATTAATTCATATTCATTTAAATGACAACACAACGTCTTTCAAATGTATAGCAGTTCATCATCAGTTTAAAATTTAAACCGTTTGTTTACATACGGACCAGCTTGACTTCCACTTTAAATTTTTAATTGTTATAATCTATAAAATATCACGCACCATACGAAAAATTCAACAATTTTTGGTGCGCTATACCACTGAAAGAATATAAGATCTTATGTCAGGTAAATAACAAAAATGTCATGACTTGCGGGATTTGAGAAATTTCATTTCAGGAAAGGAAGTCTACTCGCCCACGCAGCCACCACAGGCACAAATTGTGTGTGTGTGCGGTCAAAATTGATTCAAAGGATAACACACGAATATTTCAGGCGACAAAGCCACTTGGTAAAAGTTGTGTGAATATTTTCAAGCGTGTAAGAAATATTCGTTGATAAGTTTTCTGCAACGTGGCGCAAAGGCCGGCGCCATATCAATTGATCAAATAACTGATAACACACTATTATTATTGTCACTGGACGTTCATCGCGGCTGTGAATTCACGTGAAACTTTAAACGTCTTCCGCTCTCTGTGGGCGAAAACGCTGGGATACGTGTCAACGGAACACAAACGGAACATGTGACCGTTTTTAAATTCTTCCTGCTTCATGTCTCCAACGGGGTCTTAGACAAGCCATACGTTAACCCTATACGGGATTCACATTATTACGACATCAGTTTAATCTTTCATTTGGCAGATCATGCTTACTTCCTTTTATTTGTTGATATATCTAAAGCCTTTAATTTAGTAAATCATAAATTAAAGTTAAAAAGCTTAATATATAGGATTATCTGAAATTGCTGTGAAATGGTTCAAAACTTCAAGCCGTATCAGCCTATATCAGGGGTCCGTTGTATAAAAGACGAGCTAACTTTTAACTGTAGTTAAGGACAGAATTGGCCAATATGAATCCCGTTCGGGGATGTGAAATCGACACAAATTTTAGCGAACAAAGTTGTAATGTTCATTCTTTTAAATAAATAATAAAACTATTATTGAATTCAGGTTTCACATGATATGAAGAATTATCAAGCCTCAGTTTATAGATAACCACAAACTAATTATATATACCACTTGTCGAA